CTTCTATATATTGGGGAGCAGTTATTGTGCTTCAAAGCAATGAGACGCATGCACGTATTTATCTCACATTACCCAACTATAATGCTAGAATTAGGTATCTCGAGAGGATGATAGGAATCAATCGAGGAGCTGAATAAACGAACTTAATTTTTTAATCTACATATAAACTTTTTGTTTTTATTCTTGTATTTTAATTAGTGTTTAACGTAGAATAATGACTATTTCTTGTTTTATATTTTTACATTAGTTAATTTTTTTTTTAATAATTAAAGAGAAGCATTTTACAGAATGCTTGAAGATGATGAAGCAGAAGATGGAAGCATTAACTTTGGGTGATCATTTATAGGTATTGAGAGGCAATGAATGAACTTAGATCCAGAATGATGTCGAAGATACGTATATGACCTTATCCATGGTCACGGCCAATAATGCTATCACATAATTCGGATGTATCCACCAGTATACATTCAATTGTGAAAAGCTAAAGGAGGATTATCATTTGAAGGAGACTGATAATGTAAGCATCCACGAAAGCGTTGCAATTTTCCTAAACATATGTGCTCACAATTTAAATCAGAGATATGTGGAAAATATTTGGTCATTCACAAGAAACCATAGGTAGAAAATACCATGAAGTGTTGAATGCTCTCGAGAGAATGGCGTTGATTTGCTTAGACCTGGTCCATATGAGCTCATGCAACCTCATCCAAGGCTAGTATCATACAACGAGTATGGGCGTTACTCTGGTGCAATTGATGAAACACATGTTCCTGTCACTATTGCTGGAAAAAATGCAGAAAAATATTAAAACAGAAAAAGTGACACCAGCATGAATATCCTAGCTATATGCAATATGGATATGTTGTATACATATACACATATTGGTATTCCAAGATCAGCTCATGATGCAAAAGTTCTAGCGTTAGCGATGGAGGGGCCTCATCAATTTCCAACTCCACCTTTCTGAAAGTATTATTTGGGAGGTTCCGGTTATCCTCTTTGACCTGGATTCCGTACTCTATACAGAGGTGACATATATCATCCTAGCGAATATAATGGAGCTACTCCGCCCAATATCTCTCAAGAAATGTTTAACAAACGCTATTTTTTCGTTACGATCTATCATTGAACGGACTTTTGGTGTGTGGAAGGGAAAATGGAAGGAGAAAAACCAAAGTATGGTATATATGTTCAACGTAAAGTTATTGCAGAGACAATGGCGTTACACAATTTATTTAAGTTATCAAACCTACGAGATGTCGATTTTGATTCAAACAATTATCAAGCGAATAATGTAGCTGAAGAAAATTATAATTCAGATGAAGACGAAGAAGACAATAACCAATAACCCTCCGATGCAATATATGGAAGGAATCTAAAATCAAATTTGTGCATTTTTATGGATGATCAATCATTGTAGTTTATTTTGCTGTTTTTCGTTTAAAATAAATTTCTGAAATAAATTTTCTTTTTTAGACAAATAAAATTAAATGCATTTTTCTGATTTTTTTTGAATAAGTTACATTTATGTCATTTTTACTCATAAAATTTTAGTATTATTTACTATTTTTGTAAGAAAAAATATATTGTATTAATTAAATAAATTTATTTTACCAGCATTTACCTTAAAAATCAATACAATAAAAACACAAATGTCTCTCCTGTGAAGACACATCAGCATTTTGGAGCTTTCTGAAGATGATACTTCAGCAAAAAAAATCACCAATTAAATTAAAACATTAATACACATCACCCATTTCATTTATCATCCATTTCATTTATAAAAGCCCAAAAGATAAAATATACATACCCATCTATAAACCTAATTATACCAACACCAATCAAAACATTTAATAATACACATGATCTACTAACTTTTATTATTTTTAACTTAAACCCATTAAAAACCCAAATATTTTTCTTTGTTAGTCACTGTTTTATTTTTGCCAAACCCAAGCTCAAATAAATAACAGAAAATAAAAAAATTGTTTTATTTTTTACCATCTCCAAATCTAAATAATAAATAACAACAAATAAAAAAATTAAATCTCTTTTTTATTTTTTTACCAAATAATATATAACAGCAAAAAAAATTAAAATTTCTAACTATGTTTTTACTTAATAGAGACGTATATGATTGAAGAAAGTGTAGATTCATCATTAACTATGTTTCCATAACAACAATGCAAAAGCGTTATGTTATAAAAAACTCACACATTAGCAAAAATTTGAACCAATAAAAACATAACAATAATACATATCATTAACACACTAATACAATCGATTTAATATTTTGCTCACCCATTAAAAAGCCCAAAGTTTACAAAAAAATGGAAGTCGAAAGCAAATGAAGAGAAGCTCAGACCACCACATCTTGGAGATTCGCATTTCCGGTAGTTACCGAGAACAAATTTTCTTGGGTTTGGCGGGAATAGAGAATTTCTTGGTTTCGGTAGGAAAATGTGCTTTTCAGTTTTGGTAGGGAAACATAATTTCTCGGTTATGGCCGAAAAAGTGAATTTTCGGGTCTGGCGGAAAAATGTGAATTTTTGGTTTTGGTGAGAAAAAAAAATTGATTTTGACGCGAAAACAAAATATCTTAGTTTTGACAAGAAAATGCGAGGAAAATGCAACTTTTCAATTTTGACGTAAAATACAATTTCTCGGTTTTGATAGGAAATGCAAATTTTCGGCCTTAAATGGATAATGTGATTTCTTGATTTTCGCGAGAAAATATGATTTCTTAGTTTTTGCGGAAAATTGTAGTTTGACAATCTTGGCGGAAAATGCAATTTCTTGGTTTGATGGGAAAAAAAAATTTCTCGATTTTGGCGGGAATAAACAATTTCTCGGTATTGATGGAAAATGAAAATTTTCAGTTTTATACATATAAAGTGATTTTTTAGTTTTCGCGGGAAAATGTGATTTCTTAGTTTTTGCGGGAAATGCAATTACTCAAGAGATAATGCATTTTTTGGTTTTTGTGGGAAATTGTAGTTTATCGATTTTGGTATGAAGACGAAATTCTTGGTTTGACGAGAAAAATATATATATTTTTTTAATTGGCGGAAATAGATGATTTTTCGGTTTTTGTGGAAAGATATTTTTTTCGGCTTTGACGGGAAAATACAATTTTGTTGGTTTTTGCAGAAAGATGATTTTTTTTGTTTGGGTGAAAAAAACTTGATTTCTCTGTTTTGGCGGGAAAATACAGGTTCTCCCGGGAAAATGTGATTTTTTTGTTTTTTCGGAAAAATCTAATTTCTTTGTTTTGGTAGGAAAATGAAATTTTAGGTTTGAAGAGAAAATGATTACTTTTTTTTTGCGGGAATAGGCGATTTCTTAGTTTTGTGGAAAAATAAAATCTTTTTGTTTTGTCGGAAAATGCAATTTCTCAGTTTTTGTAAAAAGATAAAATTTCTCTGTGCTCAATTTTCAAGTTACAATATGTTTATAGTAACCAAAATTGAATTATTTAACTTCAACTAAATTGATATATCAACAGTTCAAACAGAATTTTCTATTTAGTTCTAAAGTAATAGCAATGATTTTGATATGAATGTTATTGATTATAGTTTGGTAGTTTTAGAAACATATGTTTATAATAAATATTTGATAATTAAGTAAATTTTATAATTTAAAATAATCATATTAATTAATAACTTTTTTCAATGGTAATTTGCTTTATATAATTTCAAAAGAGGATCAAGTGGCAATTTAGTAGAGAAAATAAATTACATTTGCCATTAGCATGAAAGTACTTAAAAATGTATTATTTTATTCTTACATATATATTTATAGATAGTTAGCTAAACAAATTTGATGGTAGATGATAATTTTGAAAGATAAAAAAATTAAGGATATATAATATTTATTCAGATTTAAAACATATAAATACATAACTTAATCTAATAAAAAATAAATTTAATACTCATTTACATTATAAAAATAATTTTATTATATTAAAAATATATAAAATCTAGAAAAATATCATACAGCGTAACGCGGGTAAATACCTAGTGTTTTTAATAAATCTAGATTAAAACCAAAATATACTTAAAAACAAAAACTAAATAAATCACCATTCGAGTTTTTAGAAAAAAAAAAATCTACAACAAAAATCCAAAAACCAAAATCTAAAACCAAAAACCCCTTTTATTAAAAAAAAAAAACCAAAATCTAAAAACTAATCAAACATTCATCACCTTAGTCTAATTGTCTAAATTGACCCGTAATGTTTTAAGTCTTTCGATCTCGTATCAATTTCAGAGATTATGGTTAAATTTCGGTGGAGGTAGTCGAATTTCATCAAATGTTTGGCATTGGCGAAAATCTTCAACTCGCTCAAAAACAAATGTTGTTTTAAACCCAATGTTATTTTACTCTAGACATCCTCAGATTTGAGCTTCGTATATTTTAGAGTTATTGGGCTTCAAACCATATATTTTATGTCCATTTTGAGCTTTTAATTGATTAATATTGTTGACATAAGTTACTTTTTTTTATGCACATATGGTTGATATTAAAATATTTTTTACAAAAATAAAAAAAATCTTATTTTAAAAGTATTTTGTAAAATGATAAAGATTATTTTTATATTTTAGATATTAAATATAAATTGTTTTCTAATTTTTAAATATTAATATTGTCCATTAAAATATTCAAAAGTTAGCTGAAGTTAATTCTCAGTTATTGGTGTTTTTTATTTGTTTTTTAGATGAGTAAAATGTAAAATTTGGTGTATTTATTATTACCAAAACATTGGTTGGTGTATTAAATTGGTAATATAAATTAAGGTTGTTAGGGAATTTTCCACCAATCAGAAAACCACGTCAAACCCGCGTTTGGAGTCCTCCCATATTTTCTACGAAGCGTCCTCAGTCATTAAATTGAACAAAAGGTTTAATTGCATGCTATTTTCTTCCTTTTGCTTAGTATATTAGAAACAGAGATATTTACAGTTAACCCATACAGTTTTTATTTATTTGTTCTATTATCAGATCATCTTCCTCTCTTCACCTATTATAATTGTTTGTTAAGATCAGTTGTTTGTTGTGCAAGAAATAGAGATAAAAAAGATGAACTTGAGATTGTCTCTTCTTCTGATCTTCTTCTTGGTTAAATCAAATCAAGGTTCCATCTTCAAGACCTTCTCTGGTGTTCTCTCTCCCAATTCTCATCCTTCCTCAGTTGTTTTTCCTCTCTCCGGCAATGTCTTCCCCCTTGGTTAAACCCGATTGATATTTCTCTTCTCATCTTTTTCTTCTTAGCTCCATGTTTCTAAAAATTAAGTTCCAAACTTTGAAAACTTAAATCTAAACCAAAAAATCTTAAAACATAACCTCAAATCCTTATTAGATTGTTAACAAAAAAATCTTTAAAAATTAATATCTAAAACCTAAAAGTAAATCATAAATTAGAAAGTGGTGAATCTCCGTAATTTTAAAAGAATTGACCTAATTATTTTTTTGTAAACAAATTAGTTGAGTTTTATTTTTCTTTTCCATAGTTGTTGAGTATATTTGTATTTTATTTATAATTTTATATTTTATTGTTTATTTACGAATTATCTCTTAGAATTTGTATTGTAGATACTATTCGGTCTCTCTTCAAATAGAGAATCCTCCAAAAGTCTTTCAATTGGTATTGATACTAGTAGTGATCTCACTTGGGTTCAATGCAATGCTCCTTGCAAAGGCTGCACTGTGGTATATATTATATATAGATATCTTTAACAGATTCATTCTTCTTTCAAAAACAAACTCTTCTGTGCTTATTCTCATCTCTACTTGTTTGTTTTGTAGCCTCCTTCACTTGTATATGCTTAAGGGAAATATTGTCCCCTGCTCAGACCCAATCTGCTCATCTCTTCACTGGCCTAAAAAGCCTGAATGCCCAAACCCGAAAGAACAATGCGACTACGAAGTTACTTATGCTGATCAAGGTTCATCAATGGGTGCACTTGTCATTGACCAGTTTTCTTTAAAACTCCAACATGGCTCGTTTTTGCAACCCCGCTTAGCATTTGGGTGAGAGAGACTAAGAAATTATATTCTCATTTACTCAATAATGTGAATCTTGATATGAAAATGTTAATTCTTGGACATCTTGTGTTTGTAGGTGCGGTTATGATCAGAGTTTTCCTAGTGCACATCCTCCTCCCGCGACTGCCGGAGTTTTGGGCCTTGGGAGAGGAAGAATCAGCGTCTTGACACAGCTTGTCTCCGCTGGACTAACGAGAAATGTGATTGGACATTGTTTAAGCTCTAATGGTGGAGGCTTCTTGTTCTTTGGAGACAATCTCATTCCTTCCACTGGTGTATCATGGACACCATTAATGTCACAAGAGTATAATAACATTTTCTACAATTTTTCCTTCTTTCATATTTGTCTCGGATTGTTGTCTACTAGTCCTGATTCGTGACATTCGTCTTCTCTTCAGCAACCACTACACGACGGGACCAGCAGAGCTACTTTTCAACGGAAAGTCAACAGGATTAAAAGACCTTAAACTCATATTTGACTCTGGAAGCTCCTACACTTACTTCAACAGCAAGACATACCAAAAAATAGTAAATCTGGTAATTCAAGAAACGCACAAAAAACAAAATCATTAACAATGTATGTATGTATGGTCACCTAAAGCAATCTCTTATCACATATTGGAAACGATCTGAAAGACAAGCCGTTGAAGGATGCGAAAGAGGACAAGACTTTACCAATATGCTGGAAAGGAGCTAAGCCTTTGAAATCTGTTCTTGAGGTCAAGAACTTGTTCAAGACGTTAACAATCAACTTTATGAGTGGGAGAAGAAACACTCACTCAGCTCCAGATTCCACCTGAATCTTATCTTATCATCTCTGTAAGAAATGATATGACCTTTAAAAGTTTCATTCATCATATTCAAAATTAATGAAATAATTTTGATTGTCTTCTTCAGAAAACTGGGAACGTCTGCTTGGGAATACTAAATGGAAGTGAAGTAGGATTACAAGACTCCAACGTAATCGGAGGTAAGAAGCTATGTGCAAAATACCCGAACCAAACCATTATTTTGTGCAACTAAATGAAGTTAACCGAACTAACCAAAATCCATATAAGAAGATAATATTTATTAGTTAGTAAATAGTATATAGAAAACTATTCATTCAGATTGACTAATCAAACCGAATCTAAACCAGAACCGAATATAAACATTTTCAAACCAAACGATCCCAAAACCGAATGCCCAAACCTAGCGAAAACTAATTTGTTTCATTGTCTTTTTTTCTTTTTTTTTTGAATATATATCTATGCAAGGGGTTATGATGATCTACGACAATGAGAAGCAACAACTCGGATGGGTTTCTGCTGATTGTAATAAAATTCCCAAAATATGACAAAATGAATGATTCACCACATTATATGACTCTTTACATATACACAATTTAAGATTCATATACATTCAATAGAATGAACCATTTACACAAGTTTGAGTTATTAAATTAACACCTTTATGGATATTACAATATCTGATTGGACCAAATCGAACGATTATGCCAAAACAAGAGCATCTTTAGCTGCATTATCGTTAAGATGGCAGATTTTTAGAATTAAGGTAAGAAACCATACCAAACGAAACCAAATGTGAAATGGACCGGCTTCAGTCAATTCTAGAACGCTTTATGAGTCTTGCTTCTCGCGGGTGATCAATGCTCTGAAAACAACAATTTTACAAGAACTGGTATAGTTACTGTGTTTGACGAAAAAAGAGGTATAGTTACTGTAAAGTAATAGTGTTTGATTTGTTTTCTCCAAAAAAAGAAATAAAGTGTGAGAAAAAAAGAAAAAGAAAAAGAAAATCAATTCCCTTTTTTATACAAGAAACAATCATTTAATGCATCCAAATTAGGAGGATCCGTTGAAGAGTTTGATATTATTTTTCTCCCAAAATATATAGAAATCATAAATTTGAAAGAAATAAAAATATTACTTGCATGCTATTCTTTTTTTTTTTACTCTACTAGAAACACAGATCTTAATAGTTGATCCATCCATATACAGTATTTATTTATTGTTCTCTATTATCAGATCCTCTCTTCATCTATTATAATTTGGTTGCTAAGATTAATTGTTTGTTGTGCAAGAAAGAGAGAGATAAAAAGATGGACTTGAGATTGTTCTCTTCTTCTACTCTTCTTCTTGGTTCAAATCAAGGTTCCATTTTTAACACATTTTCTGGTATTCTCTCTCCCAACTCTCCTTCCTCAGTCGTCTTTCCTCTCTCCAGCAATGTCTTCCCTCTTGGGTAAGCCTGGTTGATGTTTCTCTTATCATCTTCTTTTTTCTCTCCAGCAATGAGTGCAGTTGTAGAATAGTTCATTTATTAAATGGGTTTTCTAATGGATTAAACTTTAAAGCATGACAACATAGTGACATACTAAATATTAATAATTAGATATTTTATGTTTAAAATGAACTTTTTATTAATTCGGAAATTAAAGAAATATTTTATACCAAGACTAACAAACTAGAGGTCATATTTTAGATATTAATAAATTAGACTAAACCTCCAAAATATAAAAACCAACAAAGTATGCCATATTTGGTTAGGACTTGTTTGATCAAAAGAAAGCATATATTGTTATGTAGATATTGCTCTGTTTTATTTACCATTGTGCTTTGTTTGACTATTATGGTTGTAGGTCTCTGTTTTTGTATTGTTTTTTTTATTCATCAATATCCAACCAAATGGTAATGGGTATTTTTCAATTCTCCAAATTAATAAAAAGTTCATTTTAAACATAAAATATCTAATTATTAATATTTAGTCTATCAGTATGTTGTCATGCTTTAAAGTTTAACCCATTAGAAAACCTATTTAATAAATGAACTATTCTACAATTGCACTCATTTTGAATAGTTAGTTGGGTGATAAAAATCGGATAACTCATAACTTCTTGGTTAAATATAAAAAAAAATCTCATGTTTTCCTATATTAATTATCTATAGATTATTTTTTAAAAATTGTATTGTAGATACTAGTCGAAAAGGCCTTTAAATTCGATATTGATACTGGTAGTGATCTCACATGGGTTCAATACAATGCTCATTGCAAAGGCTGCACTATGGTACATAGATATCATTAACATATTCATTCTCTTTTCAAAAGCAAACTCTTCTCTGCTTATTCACATCTCTACTTGTTTGTGTTGTAGCCTCCTTCACTTCAGTACATGCCTAAGGGAAATATTGTCCCGTGTTCAGACTCAATCTGTTCAGCTCTTTACTGGCCTAAAAAGCCTCAATGCCGAAACCCGAAAGAACAATGCGACTATGAAATTACTTATGCTGATCAAGGTTCATCATTGGGTGCACTTGTCATTGACCAGTTTTCTCTAAAATTCCTAAATGGCTCGTTTCCGCAACCCCGCTTAGCATTCATGTGAGACTAGGGAACTGTATTTTCATTAAATCGGTATGTCAATCTTGCGATGAAAATGTTAATTTCTTCGGAATCTGGTTTTTCTAGGTGAGGTTATGATCACAGTTTCCCTAGTGAATATCCCCCGTCTGCGATTGCTAGAGTTTTGGGACTCGAGAGAGGAAGAATCAGTGTCTTACAACTTGTCTATGCGGGACTAATCAAAAATGTGATTGGACATTGCTTAAGCTCTAAAGGTGGGGCTTCTTCGTTCTTTGGAGACGATCATAATCCTTCGTTCAGTGTGGCCTGGAGGCCATTAGTGTCACCTAAGTGTAATAACACTTCCTACAATTCTTACTTCTTTCGTATACGTCTTGGCTTTAAGAGTGATTGTTATCTACTAACTGATTCGTCTACTGCTCAACAACCACTACACTACTGGACCAGCAGAGCTTCTTTTTGACGGGAAGCTAACACGTTTAGAGCGCATTAAATTCATCTTTGACTCTAGTAGCTCCTACACTTATTTAAACAAAAAGACATACCAAAGGGTAGTTACCCTGGCAATTCAAGAAATACAATGTGTTGAACCAGAAAATCACCACTAAGGATTTGATTAACAGTTGTGGATTTCGGAGAATAAGATCTTTTATTAATAGCTGTAAAGCAAAGCGATTACAAGAGATGGCTTAACCGAGAGGTTATGCCGAAGTGAAAAGAAAGTGTTTGCGAGGTAAACTAGAAAGCGTTGGAGTTCTTGGTTTTAGCTATGCCGCTCTCTAGATTGTATGAGTTCTTCTCTTCAGCTTCAGGGTCTTCTTATTTATAGGGATAGGAGGTGGGTTGCTCCGAACTCTTTTTCCTTTTTCCCTTTGGTGAATATTTCCATATTTACGATATGGAAATATCTCTTATTCTCCGAAGAATATGAAAATTCTCCTTTATCCTTCGCATAAGGCCGATGCTTTCGGGCTTCAAAGATTATCTTTAGGGATTTTCCTTTATCCGAGCTAGGTCGGCGCAGTTTTCCTAGTCTTAATGGGCTTAGGTTATTGCTAGAGAAGGCCTTTTAGGAAATATGCTCATTTTCCCTCTAACAGTAAGTCCCCTTCCTCTCTCCCTCCCAGTTCGGCGAGACTGATTGTAAATCAGGTCTGCGGACTTCATGAGGTTAAGTGGGTTTGATCTCGCAATAATCGTTAGCCCGTCAAGAGCGTTCTTCGCGATGGCCAGCTCGGCCAGATTTTTAAGTGGTCTTGACGCGTGGCGCTTCCTTGGAATTAATTATTAAATACTCCGACCCAATTAGGGTTTTGCTTTAAGCGGGAAATGCAAAAGGTTTGCCAGACGGCGAGATTGTGCGAATCTCGACACACGTCCCTTTAGGAAACTGTTGATATTTCCCTTCTGATTTTATTATTTAGTTTCTATCTCTTCGCCTTCTTGCTCCAGTATCTTCTTCTTCACACTGTTTTTGGCGAAAATTATTTCGTTGCTGCAAAAGATTTTTACTTTCTCGGCGATCTTCCTTCTTTCTTCTCTATCCTTCTTAGAAATATAATTTTTGTCGAAAAATGTCGAACTCATCGGAGAGTTTTTCTTTTGACGACGATGAGATTTCTCTCGCCGGTCGGCAAGCCTGGGTTAGTCCCGCTCTTTCTTCTTCGGGTTCTGGGGAATCCTCGGGTTATCGGGATGAGATTTCGCCGGACCATCCTAACGCAGACTCCGAGATGGAATCAGATGGTCCCGAGCCAGTCAGCCGGATCGAGGGTCTTCCTAGGAAGATCGTAATGCCAAAGAGCGATTTCGCTAAAGAAGACAGGGTGAAAGATGGCCGGACCTGGATGACGGCCGACAGGCTTTAAGAGCTGAGGCGACTATGCGATTTCCCTGCTGGAGTCGAAGTACTCCTGCCGCAAGTGCACGAAAGGGTGTTGTCGCCGCCTGAAAGTTACTTCTGCGCATATGAGTGTCATTTCGCCGAATTCGGCTTGAGTTTTCCGCTGCCGCCGATCCTTCTTCGTTATTGTGAAAGGAGGAAGGTACCCCTTAGCCAGCTTTCACATGCCGTGATTAGGCATCTAATTTCTATGGTGGCGGTGGCCCGTGTGGTGGAGGTTCCTTTCAACTGCGACATCTTTGAGAGGATCTCGCTTTTGAAACCCGGGAGGTGGAGCAGCGCGGAGCCGTGGCGTCACTTCTACACCACCATAAGGCACGGGATCGTTGGTGGAGATCCGACGAGTAAAGTCCATGACTGGGATAGCTACTTCTTCTTTGTGAAGATTACGAAGCCTCCATCAACTGCTCCGAACTTGAGTTATTTAGAGTTTGGAAGTCGAAGCCAGGTAAGCCGAACTGAATTTCTGTTTCCCCTTCTTTTTATATCCAGCCTTGAGATGCTTGACATGCTCGTCTTTTATTATTTCTTAGTGCAAATTAACCTCGGAAAGGACCCTTTTGGCTTTGATATTAATATCATGATCTGTATAAGCTGAGCCGGCAACTATGGCTCGAGAAGGAGAAGAAGTGGGCCGCCGAGAAGAAGAAGAAGTCGGCCGGACCTGCCGAGAAGGGGCCCAATTCTTCGAGAGCGGGTGCGTATACCTGATCGGAGTAGTTTTGATTAGTATTTCTCTTTTTTGAGCGACGGTGTCTTACTGTCATGTTTGTTTTTCAGCTGCTAAAAGGACTTCGTAGCCGAAGCCCGAAGGGGCAGGCCGAAAGAAGAGGAGGGCGGCTCCGGCAGTAGATGCAGATGCTCCCGCGAGCTCCTCTGCAAAGAGAAGGAGGACGACTCCTTAAGATCCACCTGTTTTGGTGGATTCTGACGACGCCGAGCTGGCCGCGGAAAATGAGACTCTCGCGAGGTAAATTCTTACTTTCGCTTTGTGTTTTTATTTTGTTCTGCCGAGATGAATGTTTTTTGACACTTTGCTTTCTTCTTTTCTTTTTTTTTGAAGTTTCTTC